GATTGTTAGCCACTGACTGGCTTGGGGGGTGGAGTCACTGGTTGCTCCAGAGTTTTCCAAGTCTCTTCTTTTCAGACTGAGCAGAATTTTTACCATTGCTACCAATGTGTGACGAGTATGTTATTTAACCCTCTCAGGCTCAAAATAAGTTTTGATAAAAGGACGAACAACTACGTCATTCAGGGGTACTTCTGAGTTAAAAAATGCTCATGAAATAAGTTTCTGGAGTAACCAGGTGGGTAGGTTTTAACGTTGCAAATCTGCCATGCCTGCCTCCAGATGGTTATAGGTAGGGTGGGATTTTCTGGTAAAAGCTATTGTAGCAAGCTACGTAAAGAATAAAAAAAATTCAAAGGTCCAACCCCCTGTCTATTGGCTTCCCATCTAAGTCACACAATTAGCTCATATTTTCTGCTCGTTGTTGGCAGCTTTTTTTTTTTTTTCCGTGATTCCTGATGTACCACAGCTACGTGACAGCCGCAGAGCCTCCGGTGGAGGTCAGGAGTTCTCCGGACTCGTTCCCCACTGAAGGGTTAAGAGATAGAAGCCACTGGGACCGAGATCTGAGATCCAGCAGGGAGAACTGGAACCTCTTCCACTACTTCACTCAGGCTGACATACCGTGTATCAATTTAGTATGCTAGCTGTTGTAGCCCAGCTTTAGCCTCACTTCCTGTTCAGCTGCTCCAAGCCAAAATCATGAAGACCAGGATGTTCACAACAACCGGATGAGGTTTTTCCAGGATTGTACCTTTCAGAGGAGATGAAAGTATTCCTATTTTTGACTAAATATGTAATTTATTAGTTACCATCAGTTTCTGAAGAGCATTCCAAGCTAACGGCAAAATGGAAAACATCCCCTACCCACCATTACCTCATGGTTAGATAGGTGGCATGACAACAACACACACCTTCATGAAACAGGAATTACTTCTGTGTTAAATGAACAAGTTGATCCAAACAAAGTTGAGTGTAAATTCATTAAAACAGAGGAAGAGTTGATGCACCAACTTTTAATCAGTTCTTTAAATGAGTTCCCGCTAACACTGCCTCATTAATCAGCACAGCACAATGTTAAAGTGAGAACTCCATTTTCCTTTCATGCAAATTGGATGACATCTGCACCGTTGTGAGTGTAAACAAAGAAGAGAGTGTTAATAGGTGAGACTCCATCATGCTGCCACGCCGGCGACGTTCATCCGAGCTTAACGAACAGTAGAGGGTTGTAATGCGGGGAGGGGTTGAAGGTCAAAAGCATGAGGCAGATTAGTCAGGAGATCCAGGATTTAACAAGATCTCCGTCACTTAGCCGACCAGACGAATGGATGTTTACGTCTTCAGTGGCATCAGAGCAAATGTTGATCCAGATTTCACACACACACATACGATCATAACAATTACTGGCAGCTAACTGAATTTCTTCCTTTACATAAAATAAAATGAAATGCTTGATTTAGAAGTCGGTCAAACGGAGCCGATGGACCGGAACCATTACCTTGAAAACAATAAACAAATGGAAAGAACAAAGAATTTAGCTTTTTACATAAATCTGTGTCTTTATTCGACTTATCAGCATATGAAATTGGCTTTTTTGTCTTTTCGGACATTTACAGGATTTGATTGACCTGCTGAAACATTTTTGCTGCCGTCACTGAAATTCAACTATTTCATATTAAATGTTTGACTAATTAGAAGAAGAGCTGTTTCACCATTATTACTATTTGACCTTTAAAAACTATTTGAATTCTCAATATAAAGATTAATATTCTTCCCAAACTGCTTCATGCAGTAGTTCCCCTCCAACCTGAACCCGGAACGTGGGTTTAGTTTCAACTTCGACCTTAACATTTTAGGGAAAATTGTTATAATGGTTCTTTACTGTACTACCTCTGACCTGAAGGTCAGCAGAACTGGGTCCAAGAGAGATTTCAGAGTCGTGGTCGAGGGAGGGTCGGATTTATTCATAATGTTATGTGTGTTTATGCGAGGGGGTGGGGGGTTAAACAGCAGGGACAAACATCGTGATTTAAGCCAGTGGCCTCAGCTCGGTGCTGTTAAACAGGTGTGTGTGTGTGTGTGTGTGTGTGTGTGTGTGTGTGTGTGTGTGTGTGTGTGTGTGTGTGTGTGTGTGTGTGTGTGTGTGTGTGACCATTCTTTTACATGTATTATGGCTGAAACATATAGTGCTATTAATAGTTTGCATTTTAAGAGTTAACTGTAGTTTAACACATTTCTGGGTGAGTAGGTTACTGAGGTTCCCAAGTGGAAAAGAAATCTGACTGGACAGTCTTAAATCATTCTTGTTGGATGACTTTTCAATGTTTTCAGATTTGTTTACGTTAAAAACTAACACATTTATACTTATTGTGTTAAAATCCCAAAGATTATGTACAGTCTCATACGGTGTTGTGAATGGTCCCTGGCTACCACCATGCCAAGTTTTATCTGTTGTTGCATTAAGGCCAGTGAGCTGTGGTAGCCATCTTAAATTGGGCTTATTTCCAAAGTTACTCCGGAAAAGAATCCAGCGGTTCCTTTTTAGCTAACAGGCGCTACTGTTGATGCTAACGTTTTGGACAAACGCAGCAGGTGTGAACTACTGCGACCCCAAATGGTAGCGTGTTCTCTATGAACCTGCTGGAGTCATTTTGTGTTTTCTGTAGTCACTTGGGTGTGGCGGACATCTTTAGTTGTGACATGGTAAACAAAGGTCTACTTTCAAACCAAACGATGAGCTACGATACACCAGCCTATCAAAGTTCACCAGCTTTTTCTATAAACTTTATTTTGTTTCAGTTATTTCCAATTAAAGCTGATAAAATTCCTTTAGATTTAGTAATGGCGCCATTTGACACACTTCAAATAAAAAAGTGTTTTTTTAACTAATTTTTGTTTGTTTGTGTGAAATTTGAACATTCCTTGACTTTTCCCTCTTGCACTTAAAATGGCTGCACAGCACTACAGACAGGGTAATAAATGTGTGCATTCTGGGTTAATCACCCATCTTAAATCCACTTCAGGGAGTCGGGACAGTGCTTGTGTTGGTAACGACAGAGCAGTAGTGTGTGTGGTCTAGCTGAAGACAGTGGAAGGTAATTTACTGTAGTGTTTTCTTGGAAATTAACTCACATTTGGTTTGAATCCATCACAAGATTTTGGGAGAATAAAACACAAAAAGGCCAACTCCAGTTTCAGGACCCAGCAGCTCCCAGATGTGCACGCATGTAAACGTAAAGCAGAGCTTTTGCATCCTCAGCAATCATTCCTGGAATGGATTATTGAGAGTGCTGGGGGGTCTTTCACAGTTGCCTGGAATAAGTCTGTTGTAAGGCTGCCACAAAACATAAATCATGCATTAGTCTTCCTCAGAAGACTACATTATTCCCATTCAGAATGCATTGGCTTACGTTCTGGCCTGTGCACACACTTAAATCGTTCACTGCCTCTGTGCACCCTGAAGATGCCGGGGATAAAGGAGAGACTTAATTATTCCTTCAGGCCAATAGCTTTCAACGCCCAGCACCCATGGCAATAACCTCCTTACTAATTATGCAAATAGATGGAGACAAGACAAAATGAAAAGAAGAGAGAGGGTAAAAAACCCCTCTGCTTGTCTGCTATTCTCACCTCGTGCCATTTCCATTTTTATCTTGACAGTTTTTCCTCCCCGGTTCTATTCTCACCCCTGTTTGCCTTCAGGTATTTAGTAATTTTATACAACATGATGATGGCCTCTACAGCAGACGCTATAATAAAATGCCGCCCATTGTTGGGCTGCAGCTCAGTCACACGTTATTGTGTCCTCTGGGATCTTTAATGAGTGTATCTGGCTTGATTCTCAGGTGATGTTGGGCGTTCGCTCCGTCCACATGACCGTGTTATTGTTGCTGGATGTTGGCTGCCCTCGGGCTCCTGGCACTAAAACAAAGAGGCCCCTTTTTTGTGTTTTGCTGTTTATACCAGGCCACCGAGCTGACATATTCATTGGTTTTCTACTCAGTAGCTGCCAGTTGATTGTACTGCAGTGATTCAAACTGTGACATTGATGGGATTCTCAGTGTTGCGCATTGGACTGCTTAGGGAAATGGGATTAAGTGGTTCTATGAGTGCACATTTGTGTGTGTGTGTGTGTGTGTGGTCTTGTAAAGAGAGAGATGCTGAGGTGGAGGACTCACTCAGACTCCCAGATTCCTGGTGATTAACCAACATGAACAGCAGGACTAACTAAAACCAAAAGCTCTGACTTAAACAGCCAAGATGGCCTCAGATATGTGAGCGTGTTATCTTTAAACAAATTATCCTTACAAGTGTCCTGTTGTAAAAGCAATTCATTCGTCTTAAACCAATTAAATGTATGCAGCCATGCGTTTCTGCACGCATTAACCTCGTGAATGTTCCAGCGGCCGACAAGCTTTCAAAGTAAGTAAGTTAGTCCAGTTTGTGGTTTGTAGAAAACCATGTAGGTTAAATCTATCCTGTTAGAAAACATGTTTGTAAAGAACAGGAAACAGTCAACTTTGTGTTTAAATGTTATGTGAGTTGTCATCAGTCTGGTAAAAGTGGGTTTCAGTACCCTCTAGAGGTGTGTGGGGTCGTATTTATCGTAAAAACCCCGACTGTCCCAGTGTTTGCTGGTAAAACAAACTTTATGTTGTCGCAAGCTGTTTTTCACCAGTACAGCTAGCCTAGTGAACTAGACCAAATTCTTGCTTTGCAAAGAATGGTCTAGGCATGCTCCATTGGAACCTCAGCAGCTCCTACCAGGACTCTGGCTAGCCAATCACAGCTCTCTAGAGGGGTTTCAAAGACATAAAGAGCTGTGATTGGTCCATAATGGTGGGCCAATCATAGTGCTCTATCTGCTTAGTGAACAAATCACAGAGCTGTATCCGCTTTGTGGGCCAATCAGGGCACTCTTTATGCCTGGTGGGTGGGATGATGCAACAGAGTGAAACAAGGGTATGTCACATTCATTGTCCAGTAGCATGCGGAGATCATTTGAAAGACAACGGTAGAACCCGCCCCACAACCGAGAGCCGTCAATGGAGCATGGCCAGACTAAATAATACATTTATTTAGTCTGGCTTGCCAGGCTACAGTACAGCCATAATCAGGTGTGAACGCTGACCAATGAAGTTACATTTATGCAATGACTGAAAATTATAAATGGAAATGAGACATTTTTCCTGGCACTGGGTTCCTTTTGAAACCATTTAGAGAAAACCAGGAACGCCAGAAGAAATGCCAGGGTTGGGCTTGGGTCTTGATGTTTTGTTCATGGTTGATTGTAGAGTGGAGTTAGATCTGCTCCCATTGATCGGTAGCTTCATCTACAGTAATGAGAAGAAGCAGCAGAGGTTGTTTTTCGTTCCATCCCTCTGTGGTCATGACAGGAATAAAGGCTCATTTCTCCAAAAGCTTCCTCTGTGGGGTTGGGTGGGTCTTTACAGAGAAGCTCCATCATCTGCCAGGAGCTCGGAGGAGAGCCGTGGCTTCTCATTTAAAGGAGTCCGCTGAGGTGATCCAGGGGTCATTCTCCAGGTTTTCCAGGAGGTGACCTGAGGGCTAAGCCAGAACCTGCTGGAGAGACTACACGTATATTCCATGGCCTAGAAATGTTTCCTTCTCCTACCTCATCAATCCAACCTCGAATATGTGAAAAAACTAAAGTGTTCCACAAGCTTCAACTCTGAGACAATGTTTTGAGTTTGGTGCAGGATCTCGTCTCTGCTGTTTGTGGGTGACGTGGTCCTCTTAACGCCATCAAACCATGACCTTCAACTGTGGTTGGGGAGGTTCGCAGCTGAGAGTGAAGAGGCAGGGGTGAGGATCAGCTTGGTCAGGGGACAGGTCCTACTTAAATATCTCAGGGTCTTCATGGATGAGGAAAGGAGGGAGTGGGAGATCAACTGGCTAGTGAGCCTGTGTCTGTTGTGATGAAGAGGAGATAAGCCAGAAAGCAAATTTGTTCCAGTCCTCACCTATGAAAGAAGAAAGGCCAATAGCAGTAGCTGAACTTAGTTTCCTTCGTAGGGAGCCAGGCTCCGCCTCAGAGTGGGTGAGGGTCTCGAACATCCAGGACAGACTCGGAGTATGCTGAGGTATTTGTGAGGGTCGACCGAGTACACGCTGAAGGGATTATATGTCCACGTTGGCCAGGAAACACCTTGGAATCCTCCTGGTGGAGCGGGTGGTGGTAGCTAGGGAGAGGATGGTTTGGGCCTCTCTGCTGGCGCTGCTAGCCTCTCACCCAGACGGGGATTAGCATGCAAACCAACACTCCGCTTCTGAATCAAGGTGAAAAACGGATAAACCATGCTGGTAACCCCGTGTTTGGCCCTTACTCGGGTCACTCACCTTCACACCGCCTGATCCCTCGTTTGTTTTCTCCGTTCAGCTGGTCTTCATCGGTTCACCTCACCCACACCCCCCGGTCTCTGGTACCCGAGCTCAGTTCTGAGAATCAGCAGGCCTGGCTCAGGTCCGCCGCTTTAAACTCCAAACGCTTTCTAATGACAAACACACTTCTCCCTGAGCTTGCTACACAAGCCCGTTGTGCTGCGTTGACGCCACCCTCTCTTTTTATGCCAATTTCAAAACCCAGATTAAAGACGGAGTCATGCGCTGCATATCAACGCTGGTTTTAAGCTCTGCTTTCACTGCCTGAAAGAGGAGACTATTATATATTTTCTGCCTGTGCTGAGGGAAGTTTTTATCTTTGTTTCTGAGGGCACAGCTTGAATTAATCTTTGTGTTTTGATATAAAAACACCGTTGTGCTTGCTGACAAACTGCCTTTGGTAAAAGCTGATCAGCTTGGAGCAGTTTCGCTCTGCTTTTAGATCTCGAAGTGAGTTCCTTAGGCTTCAAAGTTGCCCTGTTTTGAAATCCAGGGTCTATTAAATGTCACCCTTTTTATAAATTTCTGTGTGCGAACAACAGCGAGTTCTCTGGGGCTTTGAACTGTACGTTTCAGGTTTTGGGTGATTTTTAAGCCCAGAGCTGAAACATTAAAGTCTCTAATGTTGTTTTAAAGGTTTTATATCAGCCACATCCATCAGGAAAGTATTCATGAAGCCATAACAACAGGATCCTGTGCTGTTCAGGCAAAGTAGCTGTATAATAAAGTGATTTAGGTGAATTTTTAAAACATCAGTGATTGCATTTCACACTCAGATTGCAGCATCTCACTGAAGCTGCATACTTCAGTCCTTTTGTTGCTTTTCTTAAGGATTTCTGACTGAATAACACTGTTGCATCAGATGAAGCTCTTGACTTAACAGAGCGGCCCTTAGCTCTTGATTCTGAAGGACTTTAATTTAGGCCCGGCCCGACGGCTCTTCTGGAGCCAGGAAGAGAGGGAAACTTGAAAATGATCATTAGACTTTTCTCTTGCAGGAAACTATCAGCTGTCTCCGACCGTCAACATGCCGCAGGACGACACCGTGATCATCGAGGACGACCGGCCGCCACTCCTCTCATCAAACCTGTCCGACCAATCGTCTTCCAGCTCTCGTGAGGACATGGTGTTCACCACTGATGTGACACCGCCGTGGGCCAGAGAGCTGTCTGTTCAAAATGAACGGTACGTTTATTATCTCTGTTTTATTCCTGAGGAAGATGAGTCAGATCTTTACCTCCTCTGGTGCTCAGGGTTAAATCTCAAGGCTCAAACCCTTGATGTCCAGTTTTATCAGGTTCTTCTTTTTCTGCTTCTACATCTTCATCTCCTTCTACTTTTTCTTCTTTTGCTTCTTATGTTTTTGCTTCTGCTGCTTCTTACTCTGCTTCTTCTTCATCATCATCATCATCATCTTCTTCTTCTTCTGCATTTGCTTCTTCATCTTTTTCTACTGCTTCTTCTTCAGCTACTTTTTCATCTTCTTCATCTGCTGCCTTTTCTTCCGCTTCTTCATCTTCTTCTGCTTCTTCTGCCGCTGCTTCTTATTCAGCTTCTTTTTCTGCTTTTGATGCTTTTGTGGCCCCCAGACTCTGGAACTCTCTCCCCCTGAGATCAGTGGACTCAGTGGTCTCCTTTAAATAGCAGCTGAAGTCTCACTTGTTCAAAGTGGCTTTTGTATGACCTTCTTCAACACTCTCTCTTTAGTCTGCTCTCCCCACCTATTCCACCTTCCTCAGGATCCACTGATTTCCCTCTTTCCTGTTCACTCTCTCTCTTAACATTTTTTAATCACAAATGTCTATTTTTGCTCATTTTAAATATATTTTTAACCATTTTCAAATTTTTTAAAAATATTTTTACATTATTTGTTTTATTGAAGCGCCTCGTGATTTTTATCTTGAGAGGCGCTATAGAAAAGATCTTTTCTTCTCCTGCTGCTTTTGCTGCTTCTTCATCTTCTTCGTTGTCTTCACCTTCCTTCTCTGCTGCTGCTTCTTATTCAGCTTCTGCTGCCTCCTTCTCTGCTTCTTTTCCTTTCGCTGCTTCTTCTTCTGCTGCTGCTTCTCCTTCTCTTCAAATTCTAATAATTATTTTAACCACTTTTAAAATATTAAAGCATTTTATTTTTTATCATTCTTATGAGACATCAAAATAAAAGAAAGGTCTCTGTAATACATTTAAAAATTATAATATAAAATATAAGAATAATGTTGTAAATAATTAGTATATTATGTGTAGATGAATGCGTTGCCTCAGAGATTAGTAACATGTTTTCAGTTGCAGAAACAAAGGGCTTTAATGTTGTACTTCTAAAATATTTTTTCCTGTTTTGAATTCAGAGTGAAACGATTTCTTTAACAGGAATATTCCTCTGAGTATTTTGTAAGACAGGAACTGAGCAAATCACGGAGCTTCGTGGAGTTCTGTGCCTGTAGGTGTTTTATAAATGAAGGTTTTACTTATAGACTAACCCTTTGTTCCAGCTCCATGAACCCAGATGAGAACCATCCAGACGGAGCTTTCCAGAGGGAAGGATTCGGGCGCCAGAGCATGTCGGAGAAACGCACCAAGCAGTTCGGAGACGCTGCTCAACTGGAGATCATCAAGACCCGCAAGTCCAAAAGCATGGACCTAGGTACGTCCTGGGTTTGGGGTTTACTGTAGACCACACCTGCTTCCAGTTTCAGGAATTACAGGAAACATTTATTCATCACATTGTTTCTCCAAAGCGTTTCTTTTCCATCCTACCGTGTGCTTGCCGACCTCCACCGTTAGCCGTCGTTTATTCAGGGTTAGACCGCGTCATCCACGATTTTTCACTACATCTTCATTTCTGTTGTTTCCTTCCAGATTTAAGTCATAAAAGATAATGTGGCGCAATCACAAAGCATCAAATTTCCTTTTGGGAGGACAAAAGATCCTAATCTTCACTTCTGGCAGCTTAATCCTGAAATTACAAACCGCAGGGAAATAAGATTTGGTTTGTTGCCATAAAAATGTGGCAAAGTAATTTATATATTGAGCTAAAATACAAACGCAGTGATTGTCTGCATTTAATAAATCCAGTTTTAATTCTCTTGCGATGAAGCGAGTGCACACAGACTTAGAGAATGAACTAAAGAATCGGATCTCGAGTCACCTTGAACACACACCTCTGCACGCTTCGCTTGTTTCTCCACTTGTTCTTTAGATTTTAATGTATTCCTCCTCTTTGTATGAAAACAGACCCAGCTCTCCCTCTCTCCTCTCTCTTTTTTCTCTCCCCCCAAAGTCAAGAACTTCTCTGAGTTGATTCACCTTGAAAAGCCTTCAAACGGTGGCTGATTGCTTTGGCTGCAACAGGCTCTCTGCTCGCTCTCCCTCTGTAATCACATCTAATCTTCCCGGCCAGATTGCTGCTGCGTGTTGGTATCTCAACAAGTCTGATTGCTATTCTCCAACTGTATCTTCACCCCCACCCTCACCCGTTTTGTCTCGCATGGCGTCCGATCCTAATTGAGAGGAAACCTTTCTGATGTTTGTTGCAGCTCTACCTGGATGTTGCATGTGGAATGTCATGAGCACTTAACCCCAAATGTTTGTGTCCCTTCTCTCTTCCCCTCCTTCCTTTAACAGTAGCCGACGAGATTAACCTCACTCCTCGTCCCGACACCGACGCAGGTAAGAACCGGTGCACTTGAAAACTTTCCTCTGCTGCTGCCAGCGTCACTTTTTATCACAAAGATGCAAAGCAAAGGTTTTTATCTAGCCGCAGTGGAACTTACCCTCACTGTTTAAGAAAGTCACTCAAATGGGTAAAAAAAAAAAGTATTTTATAAATAATATAATTTTATTTATTTACAGAAAATGCTCATAAAACTAGAGAAATAAAAGTCTAGCACTCTTTGGATTACAACATATCACCCTTTCCTGCCAACGACTGGTTAGCACTCAGCTACCTGATCGATGTGTGTTTTTGTGTTTGATTAGTCGTAGCAGCTGCTTTGAGGGGGATGGACTCCAAAAGTTAATCATCTGCAGATGTACAAACATTTCTGAGAGTTTCATATTTTGCTGATTGACTTAAAAGTGGCTGAATGGTGATGCGGTGTGACTGGTTGCGTGTCCCTGTGATGGTCTGGACACCTGTCCAGGTGTCTTCCGCCTCTCGCCCGGTGGCTGCTGGACCATAGTGAGGGTAGAGTGGATTAGAAGATGACTGAGTGACTTTAAAGGTTAATGTTGGTTTATAATGACACATTTGGACACATCAGAGCTCAGAGCATGTAGAAAATGACACCCTGCTACAGCAACATCAAATTTCAACGCGATTTTTGTAACACTGTCTTGAGTTTCAAGGCAGCTTTATTGATATAGCACATTTCAAACACAGGGCAATTCAATGTGCTTTACAATTAGCATGAAATGGCACAACAACAACAAACACGAGAACTCAAATTACAATATACACAAATAAAATGATCATTTAGAGCTGAAAGGAAAAGACAGAATTAAGGTTGAGCAATGACATCAGAGATTTCAGTGGAGACGACGCAGCATAAGAAACACTCCATTCAGAGGCTGATGAGTGCATTAGGGTTTTAGGTTTTCATTTAAAAGACACTAGAGTTCAAGCCATAGTTTCAGCCATATTTATGTTTGAATTTGAATATCTTTATTGTCAAAATGACAAAATAGCATGTCACGTATGCACACACTCACCTAAATGCAGATTACGATGATCCAGTGTTGAAACTCATGGCTAAACTTGCTAACGCTGATTAGCTGTGGTGGCCATATTGAACATAATTTTTCCTGTTTAGGTGGTCAGATTGAGGCCCAATCTCAGTACTCACACTTCCACATGTGCGCCCTTCAATGGCGTGATCCAAGCCAAGGGTGCGAGTGCGTAGGGTGTCCCGATTCTCAAGTGCGGAATTTATCACGTCCCTTTTGCACCCTTGATCCGCGCTTCGCCCAAGTCCTCATCGATGCGGAATTGGGCGAAGTACGGTACCCACAATCCATGCTCTGATGCTCTGAAGGTTTTGGACAAAGCAGCAATGAATTAAAATTTATTTCAAATAATTTTTGGGTTGTTTATTTAAAAGATTTTAATAAAGATTTTTTTTTAAAGCACAGCGACAAGCATCCCGACATACGTTGCAGTTGATGATGCAGTGCTCCCTGTCCCAATTTGGCAATTATTTACCACGCACTCGAAGCCCTACTGCACGCTTCCTGCAAGAGCACTTAGCCGAAGACCACAGGGCGCAGTGCGAGACTTAGGATGGGGCCAGAGATGGGAAACCAAATCAGATTCTTCCTCTGTTGAATTTGTGTTTTTGTTTTTAAGTCAGGATGTTAAATCTTAATAACAGATCAATAATTTATGGAACAACTCATCAAATCTTTCAGGAAACGCATCTAATTGAGCAATCAAAGAGTTTTCCCATCCATAAATCCTGCGTGGCTTTATGGAACGGATCGATTTGTAACTGGACGAGACACAATTTGTGCACTGACAGGCATTAAATTGCACATATTGATTTGGAAATGTAAATTCTGCTCCGAATGTGTCGGGTTTTTTTCTCCCTTTGCTCAGCCAGCGCCACCTTTAGTACGAGGATCCATCTGGTCAGGATCAGGCAGGTTTGTCAGCGAGCAGAGTGAAGGCTCGCAGCAGTTTGACATTGTTGCAAAAGGCAGTTGGGTGACTCCAGATTTGATTTTCTCTCGTTTGGCTGCTTCACTAATTGTGTGTGTGTGTGTGTGTGCGTGCGTGTGTGTGTGTGTGTGTGTGTGTGTGTGTGTGTGTGTGTGTGTGTGCGCGTGTGTGTGTGTGTGTGTGCGCGTGCGTGCGTGCGTGCGTGAGAGTGAGATGGGTGGAGGAGAGCAGAGCGAGCTCCCCGCCCTCCGTTAAGGCGGCGAGCTAACGGCGAGTCATCCGTCACTGTCGGGTCTGGTGTCTTCTGACTGAGTAAAAGTCTGGATCCGGCGGCTCCGGCTGAGAGGAACGTGTGAGCCTTCAGCTCTTGGAAGCAGGAAGATGTAGTTTACAAGAAGATCTAGCAGGAGAAGAAAAAACGTGCAAAAGTGTGAGAAAGAGAAACGTGACACTTGGATTGGTTTTGATAGTTTAGCCGAAACCTTTTTAGCGGCGTGTTGGCAATCGTGAGACAGAGAGGAGTTTGTTTCCAACTTTCTGTTGTCGTGAGTGGCAGCAGGCGTATGGAAATGTCATCAGGTGTTTCAGTAAGAATGAAGGGAAAGGTGTAGAGGAGACCAGTAGTGTTAAGAGGCCGTGGCCATGAGGAGGAGAGACGAGAACAGATAGGATCAGAATCAGGAATGAGTCCATCAGATGGACCGCTCATGTTAGATGAAGTCTGAGAGGGTTGGACATGTCCAGAGGAGAGACGATGCTCATGTTAGTGCCACCAGGCAGGAGGACATGAAGTTAATCTATGTGAGGGTAGAGGATGCAGAAGACGGGATTGAATGGAGACGTTTGATTTGCAGTAGCTGAAAGAGACAGAAGCATTCTGATGAATATCAATATAATCTGGTAACTTCAGTTCGTCCTAAAGCGTCTGAGTCAGAATAGATAAATATTCCCTTTTGTTCCACATCAGAACCAGTTTACCTCCCTTCTCCGTCCCGGTGTTGCTTTAATTTTAATATTTATTTTAATTTTGCTTTCAATACTAAATATAAACAATAAATAAAGTCCAAACACCGCCGTCTAGACTGGGACAGCAGGTGGTGTGATATATGATGAACTTGTGTTCTGGTTTGTGATTGGCTGGAATATTTATGGACACAATTTGCTGTCACATGTTGAGTTTTGGTGGACGGAGGGCAGTCCTGGACTGTTGGTGGTGGCCAGAACCCGTTTGACCTGTTGACCCCTCACTGGTGAAGCCTGCAACCGTGATTTCAGCCAAAGTTTCAGTTTCCTGTTGTGATGCTTTTTCAGATTGATTGTTTTGTCTGAACTTTCTTTTGGATGAAACTTCCCATCAAATTCTGACCTGCAAGCCTCCAGATGGAGCATCAGGATTAGTACCATCATCGGCCATATCCAGTCTGCTGCCCCCTGGTGGAGGAGCTACAGGTGGAAACGGCCTGTTCTATTTATTTATGACGGTTTTATTGTTATAGAAGAACTATATTGTCTTTTTTTGAGTCGTAAATAAACGTACGAATGGTACAAATACAATAAGATAAAAAATACTGAATCAAAAGCAAAAATCGTTCTCTGATATATAATCTGGCCAAGATGTTTAAATTCAGAAGCTGCAGACCAGAACTCGAGGGCTGTTTCTCGACATGTGTACTTGTTCGCTCAAAGTTTCTGGATGTGTTCTTGCTCTGCCCATTGTATCGAGGATGCATCAATGCATCCTTCTGCAGACTTGGGACGGCAATGTTTCCCACAATGCATTGTGTCACAACTAATACACTCTGACCAGAGGAGAAATCTAATAACTGTAAAGTTTTATATCAGAAATACTAATAAAGAAATATTAAGTTGTCTGTTATTGTAAATAATTGTGTGTGTAACCTGTAAAATGTGCTGTGTGTATTTGGGTTTTACTTTTCAGATCCCTCAAAATACTAATTAGCTAACCCACTTTCAAAATAAAAGCAGAGTAGCTCTGTTTTGTTGAAATATATATATTTAAGATTCATTTAACAGTAGAAAGTGCCTGTATTTTATCAGTTGTGACCAAAAGTGGACCAAATATAATAAATATATGCATACATGTTGTTGTTTAAAGAGCAAGTCACCCCCAAATCAACTTGTTTTGCGTGTAGTCAATAATTTGGCACTTTAGAGGATCTTAGTTAAAATTTAAATATTCAGTGTTGTGCCGTCTTCAGGTAAAAACTCTGCACTGCATTTGAATTTAATTCTGCCACCGCTATTGGCTAAGAGGTACTCTAGAATGTTAGCTGGTTCCATATGATGTCACAATGCGGCTGTGAGCCTGTGTGTGTGCATATCTTGCATTTTTCAAATAGGAAGTGGGAGTGGAGTAAGACTCTGGTAGGGGGTGACTTGGTCTTTAAGGAACAAACTAGACTTTAATTTTTAGGTCAGGTCATTTACCTGTAGCTACAAACAAGCAGCACTTGTTGCCATAACGCTACAGAGTATGGTTCTGTTCCAAATGCCGTCCTCGTCCTCCCCTACACGGTAGAACGAACTTCCTGGTGTCCTTGCCAAGAGCATACTTGTCTAGTACACAAGAACGTACTTGCGTCCTTGAGTATTGAGAAACGGCCTAGTTTTATAAAACATCAGTAATCTGGAACTTGCTAATGCAAACCAGTTAGAAGTGTTCTCTTCCTACCTGTGTCACCATGGCAACCAAACTGCCTCCTATTGTGTTGGAATGAGAAGTTGTTTAAGCAACTATTCATGAATTTTTAAACGTTTAAGATGGAACTTCTGAATAACAAACATTATTTTAATCCTATAAAATAATCAGCAGAAATGTGTATTAGAGAACTTGGGTGGTTGTGATTGGTCCTCTCGTACCAGCTCCACGTTTTAGCAGATTCAGAGCCTTTTCATACATTTTCCAGCTAAAGAACTTGTTTCTGGTCCGTTTGCGGCTGGAGAAGATTCCCAGCTTTAGGTCCTTTGTTTACATTTTGAGATTTAATAAAACGTCCTCCGCCAGAGCAGCCAGTACGTTGTTGTAACGTCAAGTTACAAGTTATTGTCAAACCCTGCGATTTATTTTCTCTAGACTGAATCAATACTTGCTGCTGTCAGCTGAGGCCTCATCCTCCTTGTACCAGCTGCTCTGGGATCTGTCTCCGTTTGTTATGGCAAAGCCGTGGAAGCTTAAATTAGAAGGATATTGTTTACCTCCAGATAGATTGCGCCTTCAGTCTGGCTAAATACACTTTTGATTAGTCTGTCCTGACTGGTTGCCAGATTTGAAACGATGCATTTATCCTCTCAGTCCTGATTTTGTTTTCCCTTCTAAAGAAATCTGCAGTTTCATTTTTTCTGTTTGGAGCTGACTGAGCAGAATTTAATAGGAATCCACTTTGCCAAGTTCAGCGACGGGAGGGGAAAAAAGTTTTAGTGTTTGTGACTGCGTGCCATTTGTCAGACCTCCAACAACGTGTAAATTTATCCTTATTTCTTCCTTTAAAAGCGCCACCGAGGTGTGACTGCTGTGAGTGGCAGCAGGCGAAGCCCTTAAATAAAATGGGTGTGCAGCGTGAAAAGCCTATCAGCCGCCTCTCAGTGAGACGTTAAGGCAGCAAGACGGGCTGATGAGAATGAATGGGAGGCAGCTAACCCTCCAGCTTGTTCACTCTGCATGTTTTCAATTTTCCACTTCAGCTTTTCGACTCGATCTGTGTCTTATTAGGCCCGAGCAGCAAAAGCACTGCGAAGGCCTCTTGTTTTTCCTCCGTTTATTATTTATTTGTTATTGTATCTAGCACCCCCTAGATACAATGACATCTTTGTAACTCCTACAAAAAAGCTCCAAACTATATCAAACATGGCAGGAGTCATCACACAACTGCAATCAACACATGTATGTGCTCCCTCGTTCAAATAGCTTTAACTCCGCCCATTTACAGCCTTTTGGCTCTAGATGACTCATGCAACGTTTGATTGATGCCATATTAACAGAAAACCATTTTTAATGAGCAAATATGACCTCTATGGGATTTAGTTGTAAATGGTCACAGCGCCCCCCCAGATAGGTTCAAACTCTATTAACTTCTAAAGACATGGTCAGAATGGCATTATACTTGGCTTGTGTCATCACGTGACTGCACCAAACACAGTGATGTGGTTTTTGGTTCAAATCCCTTTAGCTCCGCCCCCTTTCAGCTCTCTGGCTCTAGAAAGCACACACAGCGTCTGATGGATGCCAAACTACCCCAAAACCATCTTTGACTCCCTAAGAGGACGTCAGTGGGATTTTTTTGTAATTAGTCACAGCGCCCCCTAGATAAGATTAAAAGTAAATTACTTCCTAATACAAGGTCAGAATGGCATTAAACTTGGCTTGTGTCATTACGTGACTGCACCAAACACATTGATGTGGTTGTTGGTTCAAACCCCTTTAGCTCCACCCCCTTTCGGCTCTCTGGCACTAGTTAACACACACAATGTCTGATTGATGCCAAAATAACAGAAAACCATCTTTATCAACCAAAGCTGAACTCAATGGGATTTTTCTGTAGTTGGTCACAGCGCCCCCTAGATAATTTTAACCTTCAATAACTTTAAAAAATGTGGTCAGGATAGCATTAAACGTGGTCTGTGTCATCACTTCACCAGTGATGGAGTATCCCCTAGTGGTGAGACGTGTAATTTAATGGTGGGCTCAGAGGAGATGCTGAGTCAGGGTGAGGTGCAGACGAGGAGACCGTTCGCGGTTTCTGGTGTCGGGGTAGTCGACGTTTCTGTTCCGCGGACGTGCCCAGGTGTCCTGGGCTGCCGGCCAGTCCGGAGCTGCGCAGAGCTGAGAGGGCCGAACAATGCTGCTTGCAGCTTTTATTTCCGTTTCTTTTCCATGTTGTATAAAACTCAGCAGTTTTTTTTCTCCCTAGCTTACAGACGGTATTCTGCAGACCTGAAAGGTCATTTGTATAAATGAAACATTTTTAATCATCCAGAGAAGATGTTTAATTTGATATTTAGGGGAAAAAATATTTTCAGATTTAAAACACGTCTTAAATGTTGGTAATAATAATAATATATTTTTTTTATTGAAGATAAAATAAATGTAAGGCATTAGTGTCTAGGTTTTTAAAAAATCTACATTTTTATTAGAAATGTAAAAAAAAATTACTTTCCTTTTTGTTTCAGTTCACGTTTCAATAGGAAATGTTCTCGAGTTGCTCTGATGGTTTAACATCAGTTTTCATGGACGACTGACATCTAAACCCTAAATAATCTCAAATTTTAGGAGTTCAATCTGTTTTCCTCTGAGTTCTGGGTTAAGTTTGGATCCTTTAAAGTGTGTTTACTGTGGGTTTCATGAGCAGTTCTCATTTTACCTGCTGCCAGTTACAGGTGTTTACCTCTGTAGTCATTTGTTTAGAAATTGACAACACACTAGCTAGCTAGCGAGCTAACTAAGTGGCTAGCTTTGAGTATTTGATATTTAACCGACTATAGAGGCTTTTAAAGTGGTGTCACATATGATTAACATATTTTATGGCATAACCCCACTTTGATTGTGATGCCATTGTGACTATCCATTAGCCTATCAATCCAAACACAACTCCTATTAGTTTCTCCAAGCTGAGGTCCTTCAAAGAGCTGTCAACATTATTTATTTTAAACATTTCACTTTTAAGTCTGAAATTAGTCCTTCCAGGTGTGTTTCTGTCCTCCTGAAACCTGTCAGGAGATTACAGACTGCTACGTTTACGTCTGTCCCTGCTCAGCTGTTTTCCTCTCCGTGTGTTCTGAGAGGTTCCTTATGGGAGTAAAAAACATTGCCCGCTCAACAGTGTGAAGTGTCTTAGTTTAATTAAACTGTCATGTCTCCACTATTTGGCTGATGGTTATTTTAATTTACAGCCTCGTCTAGAAAATGAAACTCTCCAGTTGGTCTGCAGGACGACACACAAAAACACACAATCTGATAACTGACCAGCTCAGGTGTTTCTGTGTGCTGTTGTCCCTCAGCAGCACTGGGACCAGTTAGGGGTTTCATAGTTTGTGTCGTCTTCATGCTTCAGACCTGTTTAAATCAGGAATTTGCCATATTTACTATAATTAACAGCATTAATATTAATCAGAGTTATTGGTGTGATTCTAGAGAGTGACATTTGTTTAGATTATATTGGAAAAGAAACTAAATCCTAAAAATAACTGAATTATTAAGCCATTTATGTGTTCAGGAAATTCTGTTTATAAACTGAGGCGAACTCCAAACTATGATTAAAAAAATACTTTTTTTTTCTTTAGTAAAAACAAACAAACAAAAAAAACCTGATTTTTTTAAATATTAATACCTCCCCTTAGGGCTGCTCGATTATGGCAAAAACAATAATCACGATTATTGTGACTGAAATTGAGATCTCAATTATTTAAGACAATTTTTCAATTTATGTTGATTTTATTTGTTTGTATTCAGTCATAAAACTGCTCAGGGCACAATCAGGACAAAAATAAACAAGAAACAAGATGATCACTAAAATAACTCCTGATTCCCAGTATAAAAAGACCAATATACTTATAGCTCATAGTCTATGACCCAAGGGCTATAGACCTTGGTTTAACTCATTTAAGTCTAACCAGTACAGACCCAAATACCAATATCTTGCAAACACTGACAGCAAGAATTATACAGTGGCATTTATAACAAATAAACGCAAATAAATTAATGTTCACAAAATGTAGCATAACATTTATTTAGTCATGTCAAAATGCTGTAGGAGAGTGGACTAGCACCGTGTCCTCAGAGATTAGTTATTATTTATCAGCGTGAGGAACTTATTTCTACCTTATTTATAAACTATTTATTTACAAGTCCATCAGTTAATGTAATAATTGTCCCAACCACAGCTGCACCCCCCACCCTCCAACCCGGTCTCAGCAATCAGTGGCAAGCTGCACGTGTGTTTAGCACGCGCACATTTATCCGTTTTTTAGCAGCTTAGGAGTCCGCAGGTGCGGTGTGTGTGTCACTCACTCTGGTTAATCCAACAGGGAGCCGGCTCTGAGAGCCGTTTCTTTAGCGACTGACACATCACTACATCATTCCCTTTCCTAATGTCCTGAAGAACGGCCGGGAGCGCAGGCGGAGTGTTTAGCTAACCTGCAGGAAATGTCGACGACAGTTATCCAGAAAGTAGCTAAGGGTTACCAGAGATGTTTCTGAGGTGTTCGCTAGGTATTTTTAAAAGTAGAAGATGAAGAGGGAAAAAAATGGTGATTGTGCAATGTGAAACTCAAAAGTTCACTAGAAATTAAATAAATAAATTAACTATTTGTGTAAATAAATAAATAAGCATAACCATTGGTGTCACCCATGAATAAACAAGTGCCCCACATGGGCCACCCCATTTTAAAAGTCCTGGACACAGCTCTGTGTCAAAGTCGCTAAGCTGGCAACACTGTGGGAGGAGCACTTCATTTGCAACTCAGGGCAGCGCAAGTGGGAGGAGCAAATAATCGGCTTGTTTTGTTTTTATAATCATTCAAAACTCAGATCGTAATTGTGATTAAAATTCGATTAATTGAGCAGCCCTACCTCCCCTCATATTCTGCTGGAAACAGCCCATAGAGGTTCCGGCCTCTTCCATTGATTGGTTTGGTCTGCTTTGTCAGAAATGCTGTTAATTAAAGGTCGTGTCTCAGTTAGTAGTTTTATCCACTTCAAGGGTCTATTTAATTTTATTTGCATTTTTGAGTTGATATTTTTATTATTCAAACTAAAAAAACTAAATGACCAAATTTTGTTCAGTTTTCAGACACTTGGATGTTTAAACCACATTTTTAGTTTAGCTCAAAACGGACAGACAGGTCGAAGGAGGCATGAATTCTACTTTAGGTTTTTCTCAGGTCAAATAAAAACATTTAGTGTTAATCTTCTCCTCCAGGTTCCTCCACGAAGGACGTTGGACCCTCGCTGGGACTGAAGAAGTCCAGCTCCCTGGAGAGCCTGCAGACCGCCGTAGCAGAGGTCACCCTCAATGGTGACCTGCCATTCCACAGGCCCCGCCCACGCATCATCAGGGGTCGTGGCTGCAATGAGAGCTTCAGAGCCGCCATCGACAAATCTTACGACCGACCGACGGCGTTGGAGGACGACGACGAGGGCATGGAGACGTGTAAGATGTCACCAAAACCAAGAGGAGAGATTTTTGGTGCTAAACTAACTGTTATGACCGTTTTTAATAAAAACTGGTGTGTTTGCGCACGAGTGTGGCGATGTTCTGACTAAAATATGGCTGTTGATTTTGTCGGCGCTTGTGGCAATGACGGCTTGATGACTCAGAGTGTAACCTTGGCTAATAATAATTTAATATCTTGATGTTCAACTTGAAATTCAATCATCTCCAGTGTTTTTTCAGTTAAGTTTAAATAACATGGGAACTAAAATGTATCATACCGGCTGCTTAAAAGGTTTTTCTCATTTTTCACCCTAAATTCAGGTTATGGTGGTAATTACACGTCACCGAGTCCTATAAATGATTACTTATGAGGGGTATTAAATCAAAGTTTCTTCTTCTCCTTGTTTCTTCTGTGGTTTTTATCTCCAGTGGAGGAGGACACCGAGGAGAGTTCACGTTCAGGTAGGGAGTCCGTGTCCACCGTGGCGGACCTGACCCCGCTGTCCGGCCCCGATAAGCCCCTGGTCAACGGCAACAACCGCACAAAGGAGGAGAAGAAGAAGGAGAAAGATAAAGGAGGGAAGGAGAAGAAGAAGCAGGAAGGAGTTAAGGAAAAGGAGAAGGGAAAACCAAAGAAAGGCATGCTGAAGGGACTCGGAGACATGTTCAGGTAACTGAAAACCCACCAGGAATCGAATTAACTGATCTGAGATCTCCTCCCAGACGAGGATAATTAACGTGCTTTCCCTAAATCTGATTGGCTCGTCAGATCAGCTCCATTAAGAGTTAATAAGTCTGTGTGCTTCTGATTCAGGTCAACTGGCAGGAAGTGAGGAATATTAAATACATCCCTTAGAGTTTAGATTTAGTTGAAACAGAATTTAAAAAAACTTGACCATGGAAAAGTTGTGTAGAAAATAATAAAGCTGCAAATGTCAGGTAGATTTTTAGGGTTCTATTCTAAGGTTGAATCTAGAAAAGTTAGCTAACTAAAGGTCAGTTTATGTTCAGCAGAATTCTTTTAACCACACATTCATATTTTACTTTTACAATAATATCCTTTTTAATCTGTTCAGCTTGGACCTCAGGTCTCCATGAGAACATCAGAATAAACCCAAATCAAGTTCAAAGGGGAAAACTAAGTTACTGCAGAATTCACATCACAGAGATGCTTGAAGAGCAGAGACGATCCCATCAGAACAGCAAAGAGCATCCCGGCACCTCCCATATGGTGGCTTTGACAGGTGATGTGTGGGAGCTTCAGTTTAGCAAACACCAGAATGGTCAGCACTTAGCAGAGAGCATCTCGCTGAAAGGGGAAAAGGGTAGAAAATTTGCACGTTTTCGTTTGTGTCGGTGTCAACTTGTCACGATGAAATGGCATCCAACGCACAAACCCCCCACCCACGTCAGTGATGAGCAGGTTTGATCCCAGGAGTGTGTCAGGAGTTCCCTCTGTGGGGTGAATGAGTGAACGTCGTTCTTTGATGTGTCGGCGTGTACGAGGGTCGGATCTGCAGTGACAGACCCGTGTGTGTGTGTGTGTGTGTGTGTGTGTGTGTGTGTGTGTGTGTCAGATCAGTAGAGCTGCCACAGCCTGACCCTCTCATGTTTCAGAGGCCTCTCTCTCCATCCCAATCAAAGCATCATCAGCTCCTGCCAGCTCCGCAGCCATCTCCTTCACTCTCTGATCATCACTTGGACTCAGAAGCAGCACCCGGTCTGTTGGCTTGGCATCTGCTGAGACGCTTGTTGCCCAGAAATCTGAGGGCTGCACTAATTTTTGCAGGGGTGCTTATGTGTGTGTGATTGGCTTTCTTCCCATCATGAACAAGTGAACAAGCCTGAAATCTCACAGTAACAATCTTTATGGTGCGATGCACTGAGAGCCACATTGGAGGCTTGTTTGTGTCTCTTACTGCCTGCTGATGGGGTTTTCTCTGACGCTCACACAGATTCAGTTCACAGGGGTGAAGGGACTCTGATGCAACATGCTCTGATCTTCAGAGTCTTAGCTGCCGGTGCTATTGTGTTCTTTGTAATCTGTTGCATGCGATACCAGCTCTTATCCGTAATCACAACATGGCTCATAGCCATGTGGCGCTGCGCCAACACCAGCGAAGCTGCATCTGAGGAGTTTACATCAAAACTTATCTTAAGTTACTTCTTACAGAGACACAAACTCCTACATTTAGTTGAAATAAGCCAATGCTGCTGGTGCTGAAGTTCCCATTGCTATAGATCCTAGTTGGGACTTAAAGGGACTTTACGGGGTTTTGAATTTTTATGCTCGCGATTGCCCCCTCAGGCCAAAAGCCTAACGGCAGCTTCAATAGTAGGCTCGTGCACGAGGCACGCATGCTGTACGTGCACACTCCTTAATGAAAATAACAGCTGAGACAGTCCCGTGTGTGTGTGTGTGTGTGTGTGTGTCCCGGAGGACAGAGGACAGGAGAATGTGCAGCAAATTAATTAAATAATTTGGTTCTGTACCTATCTCTTCTGCTTGAAAAATTGTTCCAAAATGAAAGTTGAACCCACATCTTTTTTATCTGTGAATTCAATGCCGTTCGTCGAGTCTCAAATAAAAATTTGGGAATCTTACTGTAAAAAAATATACAATTAATATAAAAAAGAAACTCTAAATAAACTTTGTTGACATTCAGAATCGAACCCGGGTCTCCTGCGCGAAAGTCCAACGTCTCACTCGGTGAGCTACAGCGCCAGCGATGTCTTTTGTATCTGTAAAATTTATATGTTTTATGACAGCTGAAACAACGTTCAAAGAATGGTTCGGAGTGAAAATGGCTGTTTTGTTGCTAATTTGCAGGAAATATGTTGAAGAAAGTTCTACAGAAAGTTGCTAAGGGTCCTCAGAAATGTAGCTAGCTTTGTCACTAGGCGTTAGGAACAGCGACAAAGACTAAAGCTACTGATAGCAAATGCTACGGGCTATGCCTGAGCGTGAACGCGCACGAAGCAGCCTGCTCGACCAGAGCAGCTCTCTTTTTCTGTGATTTTACAGAAAAACAGGCAATCACAGTAAAAATGCCAGGTCTCATTCTACAGGACCAGGGCATTGCAGGAGAATGTATGAAGAAGACATTTATTATTTCTATACATGTTTTGGCTGTCAAACTTCCATAATGCCCCTTTAATGTTGTAATAATCTGAGCTTTGACCAAATGCCTTTTTTTGTACAGACAAAAGGGCTTCCACACTAGATTGCTTTAATAACCGACTATTCACTATTTAGGCGATAGTGAGCCTTAGCATCACACTAGGACAGGGGTCGGCAATCCGCGGCTCTGGAGCCGCATGCGGCTCTTCCATCCATCTGATGCGGCTCTCTGTGCTTGTAAAATAATGAATGGATATTTAAATAAAAAGCTTTATATTTTACTGCATTAATTTTACATCTGTAAGCTAATTCTAAATGTAAAGATTGTCTGCGTAAACCTGAACAGGTCCAACCCGGTCTTACTGTGAGACCGGGTTGACGCGTCACGCTTGTGCGTAATCATATAGGCGCTGTCTGAGCTGAAGACGATGTGAGATTCTGGGCTTCTCCTCAGACAGGCTCATGGATGTGTCGCCACATTGGAGACAGGAACAAGCACTATTCAGCCAAAGTTTCATAATCAGGGAACATTTTCTAAGTGACAAGTCTCTCTGAGACACAGGGTTTGGAAAGCACTCGCTTCAGTGGGAGGAATCTTCCCGCATGCGCTCTGGTTCTGCGATGCACTCCAAGCCCCTCTCCATATCTTCAGCTCGCTGTGCACCTTATGTACGCGCTGACAGTGAGTTGCGCTGAGCGGTGTCCAGCTCAGATGTTCAGATAGGAATCTTTTCTTGAGTGATTTAGCTACATCTGCGATGTGCATAACGAATAAAATGTCAGTTCGTCTGCATGCGTCGGGGTAATTATTTCTATTATTTCTCCGTCAAAATAAACGGTCAAATACGGGAACTGTCCGGTCAACACAAGCCCTGCTTTTAACTGTTCTGTTTTCTTGTGAAAATTGTTGTAAAGAGATATAATTTAACTTGATTAACACCAGAGCCAAGCGCACTGCGCCGTTATCTCCGTCACTGTAAACGAGGGAAAAACAAAATGATCGGATCCTTTTCTGACCATCCCCACCTACAAAGTTTAATTAAAACAATCAAACGTGACAGAGCCTGGATTTGTATTCTGAACAGTCTAAACATGTTTAAAAAGAAACGTAAGCCACGAAAAGTGGCACCTGCTCGGTAAAACCAATATGTGGCTTTTAAAGAAGTAGTTCAGGGGTAACATATTCTTGCCTTTAAGTGGTTAATTAATACAGAACTACTAGTAATTGGGTAAGAACAAAATCTGACTTTAGAATGGGGAACATATTCTTGCTTACAAGTGGTTAATTGATTGTTGTTTAGGCTCTATTAACATATGGAGTTTGGTGTTCATGTACATAATACCAGAACATAATATTTTTGGTAATTATTGCAGAATAACTATTCCTCCTGAATTACTTCTTTAAAAGCCACATATTGATTTGAGCTAATTAGTATGTGTGTTAATCAGCGACAAACCATTTACTTTCAGTTAACAAACCATTATAAATGGTTTATTTTGGTAAAACTTAATTTATGGCCTGTTAATATTAGAATTACAGCATTAGTAATAAGCTGTTATTAAGTGCTTAATAATGACTAGTTCATACGTAGTAGTCCACTAATGTGCATATTAATTGGCAGCTATTTAATGGTTAATTTGTGTTCCCTAAACTGAAGTGTTACCGAAACATCATTCAAAGTTTAAACGGGTCACAGGAGGTTAGCCTTAAATTAGTGTTTAAATGTATATTACTTACACAAAATGTTCCTCCTAGTGCAGGGGTCGACAACCTGTTCCCATCAAAGAGCCATTATTACCAGTTTCCCACAGTAAAGAAAACACTGGGAGCCACAGCAGCCGCGGCGTTGTGGGCGGGGCCTACCCTCAGACAGCAGAGAGCTGCTTTAACCAATCACAACAGGTGACAGCAACCGGTACCGGTCGCTCGGTAATATGCACCTAACAATAGCTTAATGACTAATTCAGACTTAATAGTCCACTAATAAGCATTTTAATTGGCAGTTAATTAATGTTTAATTAGTGTTCCCCAAACTGAAGTGTTACCGACAGTTTTACTCTAAAGTCTACCTGAACTTTGCAGCTCCAAGTGAAGCGTAGTTTCCTCTGTTTCACCAGATGGGAATCGAGACCTATAACAGAACAGTGGTGGAACACTGGTAGAATCTTAAAGAAGATGTTTGTATCTTCACATCAAGCAAAGTTCTGCAGGTTTAACAGAACGTTCTCCAGAAAAATGCGGGTCATGTACCAAAACTGAACTGCTAAGCTTTTTCTAATAAAGAGATCAAGCTTGTTATTTAGTTCCCTGAAAGTGTTCCCGTCTATTTGTCTGATGTGGAGGAGTAATGTCCGCCTGATTCAGCTGCACGTCTGATTAGCCACAAAACACGTCTCACACCCCGAATCAAAACACTTCCACTCCCACCAGAGGGAGTGATGTAGATGGTCAGACGTTCCGCCGAACCAAACCAGTTGAATCATTTTAATGTAAATCACAGAACCTTGTCGAAAGCCTCGTCATCGATTACTTTGGTCTTGATGACGCTGCGGGTTCAACTGTGTTTAGACTACATGATTATTAAATTCACTGGTGTCATGGTCGATATTCTGTCTCCTCTGCAAAGTTGTTTCCATCCTGTCATTAATCTTGATGTGTGTGCACATGCAAGTGTGTGAGTGAGTGAGTGAGTGAGTGAGTGAGTGAGTGAGTGAGTGTAAGAGAATGGGTGTTTTTAAAGGGCTGTTAATGAAAGTTAGTGGTGTGGAGAGAGAGTGTCAACCGTCTCTTGCAGTGATCGATCACTCCTGCTCTTAGCATTAACTTCAGGCTGTCACTCCTCAGACAGCTGCAGTTACATTAGTCAGGTAATGGAACGTCACTCCGTCTTCTGCTGCGGGTGTTTACTCCCAATCCCAGCTCCTGGTTTTCATTGGATTTTACCTACAGTGTTATCTCTATCTACTGTGGTTTGTGTTTTACGATGTTCCCAAGAACAGGTATAATATTGGAAAAGTCCATATCCAAGTCATTTAGTGTCGTTTTCAAGGTCACTTATGTAGAATCATGACTCCACCCGATTATTTAATGTTGTGTCAGAGTCACACTGCAGCCTTCAGAAAGAAACTTTATTTATGAGGTAAAGAAAAAGATTTAAAAAAAATCCTAATTTATAATAACTTAGTTTAAAGAGCTTCGCTTAGATGGATCCAAGAATCAGCAGAACCGTTTGTAGCAAAGCTCAGCTGATGTTTAAGTTGCAAAATAAAGAGTGAACTTTGATCGTGTGTACAGATGGAATCTGTTACCTGTCACTAGTTCTACTGTTGCCATGGTTACTTTCAGGTATTTCTGTTGAAAAGCAGTCCTGAGAAGTGTGAGGCTTTAGAAATTATAACGGAGAAGGTAAGAACATGAAGACAAAGAGCTAAAGCACAGCAGAGAGGGACAGATTTAATAAAGTTTTCCCTTTTAGGACTCACAGGTTTTATTTATTTATTTTTTTTAACCATTTTTACTGTTGAATATTTTATATAATAGACATTTGTTGGGGGAAAAAATCTCTTTGCATTGACAGTGTTGTTGTGTCTGCTTTATTTAAGGGTTTTGTGAACGTTTTCACTCTATCTTTCTTTAATCTTTACTTGTTTATTTTTGTTATATTCTTGTAATCACTGCGCTTTTTATTTTCTCCTGCTTTGATTCACCCGCTCCTAAACTCTGTTGTGTTTCATCTGCAGGTTACTTTTGTTCTTTTTTCACACATTTTTCTGATTGATTTGGTCTTTTATTTGTCTTTCATCCACATTGATTATTTGCAGACAACAATTTGACTCTCGCTACATTTCCTTTCTACATTTTGTTCTGTTTTTGTAACAGTTTTTTTTTCTTTCTCCCTATTTTGAAACCTCAAACACCTCGGGGATTTTTTCTTTTTGGCGGTTTGCTTTTAATCCTGCAACTTCAGACTTTCTTGAAAGACTTCTAACACAGAAACACTTCTTTGTTTTCTTCAGTTCATCTCGACTCGTGGGTTTCATTCAGTGAAAAGCTCGTATTTCTTTTAATCCACATGCGGCTCTTTGGTTTCTGTGATTGTTGTTGCACCAGAAGTCGTAGATATTCTGCTCGGCCCTGTTTCCCTGTGAATAATCACACAGGTTGATTGTGGAAGTGAGAGCAGTGCCAAAGTCATTTCTTCAACAGGCTGCAGCTTTATACCGAGTCAATCAAGCTGAAATATCTCTGCAAAAGCTCCTATTTCATTAAGCATCACTCCCTCCCCATGAATATAATTACTTCATCTCTTCAACTTGAAACGAGCTGAATGGAGAAAACTTTTTAAATGCTTCACGTGAGAGCCTGTTTCAGAGTGAAGTAACACCTCAGGAGAGTTTTTGTCGCATTTTTATTAGGATCCACGGGGTTCTGGCTGGGAGGGTGTCACAGGTCTTTCTGCTGAATCAAAAAGGGATTTGTCTCTCAAAACGTCCTCACGACCTTTGATCTTTTACCTTTGTGCAGCTACCATAGCTACGCTTGTAAAGGCTAATTGTGATTATTACAGCATTGTCTCATAAGTGCATCAGAATAAAATCGTTGTTTTTGTTTCTGGGCTCTAGGTTTGGTAAAAACCGTAAAGATGAGCGACCGGGAGAGAAGATGGATCGGAAAGGATCGAGTAAGTGGAGGCCGGAGGAGATGCAGGTGTCTGAGGAGGACACCCTGAAGATGAGGATGGAGCAGGAGAGGTGAGGAAGTCTTCATAGAGCTTTTTTTTTTTATAAAAGGAGAAAATTATTACAACCAGTATGTACTAAAATAACACTTAACAGGATTAATGGAATGTCACTCAGACCCCCACTGCCCTCTGTGGCCCGAATACCGCATTTGCAACTTCATAGTGGCGGGCTGCCACCTGTCGGAGCTGCCACACCTGGCCTTGCAGTCTGCATCCATCATGTGTCCTGCAAATTTTAGATCATGATCACAGCTGATTTGTTTGATGAACCGCTTCTGTAGACACTAAGGAAGGCTGGGGAGAATAAGGTGTTAAAAAAGAGAATGCACAGCAAGGAGATAGGTTTCATTTTTGGTTTGACCACAGAGAATTCACTCATTCACTGCCAATGACGACTAAAGTCGTCATTTTAAATCCAACCGTTCAATGCCAATGACGACAAAAGTCATCATTTGCATGTTTTTACTGCGTGGGCATCAGAACGAGCCCCCGCACCGTGAGAACAAACATCTCAGCTCCAAAGCCGATCTTCATCCGCATACGTCACACGTCACGTGATCAGGAAGCAGAAAATCTATGTGTTAGGAGATCGTTTTAGGCCGCTGCTGTAAAAAAAGTGAGGTGCGAACTGCCGATCAGAATTCATTTACGGATTATGAAAGAATAGATAACACTCGAAATGCGCAGATTCTTCCTGATGTAAGAGGTGAGTCTCCACTTTGTTTTGGTTGTTTTGGCGTCAACATCATCCTAGCGCGCAACGTTCTGTCACTCTTAAAAAAACAGTAAAAACGGTGAGAAACGCTGGCAGCGAAGGGCTTTACCGATCAGGAAACGGCTGGCAGCGAATTAGTTAACAACAGACACTAGGGGGTGCTAAAAGCAAGTGTGCCTTTAACAAAATTTAACTATAAAAATAATTATTTGGAGCCTACAGATGCAAATTGAGACCTACAGTAACACCTGGAAATGCCTCTGAGGTTTAAATCGATTTTATTATTCGGGAAAACTCCCCATTTGTGTTTATGAAGGGGACAGGGCTTTAAACGCTCTCTGAGGTGGCCGCCAGGGGGCACTAGTTTGTTTCAGCTTGATTTTGCATGTCTTATTTCTGCGTGAAATCCAAACACAAGCAGAAAAAGTCAAACAAGAACTAAACTTCATGTTTTGTAAATAATTGTAGAGAAATTCACCAAAACCTGTTTTATGTTAAACAGCGACCCAGTTAGTAGCTTTAGAGTTCTGCTCATCAAAGCTTCAGGAGGACACCTCTGCACCTCGCTGCCAGTCATATTGATCACCCGAAGCCAGAGGCCAGAGTTAATTCAGCTCTGATTCACTGGATGAATAGATTTTCTTATAAATTGAAGACTGAGGTCTGAAAGTCCCAACAAACTTCGGCCCCTCTCTGTTTTCATCTAGAAGTATAATAAAGGGATGAAACGAGAACATTACCTGGAAATTAGTTTTTATCTGGTGTTTTTTGAAGCAGAGGTAGGGAAGAGGTGTCTCAGGTGTGTCCTGCAGACCCAGGACAGAGGGACTACTTCTATAGGCTGACCTGGGAATGGAGGAGCTGGTAGGAGTGGGTGGAGAGAGAGGACGGCTTTGCTACGAGATGCTGATGATGGTGATAGAGAACTATCTCATTCAGAAATGTTGGATTGGTTAAGATGATGTTGCAGGACACCAACAACTTCTTCAAAGCTTTTCTTGGAGGACTCCCAAGTGTTCCCAGGCCATCTGAAAGATGCCGTCCCATTCATTAGTCCAGGGTCGATCTAGGCCCGGAGCCAAGTCAGCACGCCCAGAGACTCCGCCCCCAATTTTCTCAATTATATTCTGTGATTATTGGTATTCTTCGCCATAAATATAATAACAACACCAAAGCTGGCTGTGGATCATCTTATTGTTGGGTTAGGATTGATTTTTTTTTAAGGCTTCGTGTTGCAGATCAGATAGTCGTATCGCCTTCATATAAATGTTGTTACTTTCCTGCTTGGGCAAAAGTGTAAAATCATAGTTTTTGGTGAACGCGTTCCACAGGACCCTCTGAGAAGTTGATTCAGCACAAACGTTGGGCGCTGCAGCGGTTGGAGCCGTAGCCATCTGTGGACTAAATCAAACCATCCTTCAACTCGTGTAATTGTTTTAAGAAGTCGCCTTGTGTCTCGACATTTGGCTTGTTGTTTTATGTGAAGTCATTTTTCTCAGTGAACTCTTTATGACCTTCACACCTGCTCGTGTCCACAGATCTGGCTCAGGATCGTTAGCCTCACAAACGTTCGTTTAGCTTCTACGTCTTTTTATTCTCTAAAAATGTCCTTGTGGGGTTTTTTGTCGTGAAAGTGGCTGAAATCCTTAAAATGTCTAAACAGACTTGTTATCAGTGCAGAAGGACTCGAGCAGACATGTTATCCTGCTGGACCTTTTCCCTTCTGGTACTTCCTGCCTTTCACACTGGTCTATCACTTGTGTCACCGTTGCTGCTAAAAGGGACATTTTTTAACACGCTGAATACAATAGCACATAATGGACCATTGTTCTGGCTTGATGTGGTAGAAAGGTCACTCGTCAAATACATTTCTTCCACCATAATGTCCCATCCTGCCATTTCTATACCCATTTATACACTGTCTCCTTCTCAATCGCCCCTTTTCTTCTTTATCCTCACTTATTCAAAATAATTTACACTTCATCTGTCATCAAGCTTGGTTCTTAACAGGAAAACGGGAGTTTCCTTTAGTATTTTGGCACTGAGGAGGTCATGATTAGTCATATCAGGCTTTTCCTTTCTGTTCTGTTTCCATTATCTGGTTGCTGCTTCATCTTTTTAGAGTCGCAGGAAACAGAGATGGACTCTGTTGACACTTTTATGTGTACAATAATTAATTTAGTGACTTATGAACCCTTTGGATGTCGATTTGATGCCTAAACGTGACACTTTTTCTTTCAAGTATTCAGAAAAAGTTTGTAAATGTAACTAAAGAACAAAAGTTTAAAAAATTAGAAAACTTTTAAGGGTAAAAGGTTTTCACATTAAGTGTAAAAAAATGTAAAGAATTCAACAAAAACATTAAGAAAAAAATGTAAAACTTGTTTAAATGTTTAGAAAAACAGTAAATAACAAAAGGAATTTAAAAAGTGAAAAAAAGAGAAAGGATCAAATGAAACAGATGGAAATAAATAAAAGAGGAATTGGAAATTGAATAAAAATAAAGAGGTTAATACAATTTTGGAACTAACATTTTATTAAAAAAACTAAAATATTAAACTCGAAAGTAAAGAAAATTTTTATTTTACAAGTTTTAAAATGTTTCCAAAGCAAAAGTAAATAAGGATGTATAATCAGAAATATTTTAGAAAAGTAATAAAGAAATAAAATTGTCCCTTGCTGCCTGTAGATCCTCCACCAGGGGCCAGCAGACATATATAGAACAGGATATGGCAGGTTTCTGATGAAGGTACTGATCCACATGCTCTGTCTGGAGGCTTTAAGGCCAGAAGTGTGTTTGTTGATTTGGGATGAAAGTATTCCAGTCAGCTTCCAAACCCCTTTTTCTGCTATCAAATTCCACTACCTCCGCTCCGCTCCGCTGCGGTCCGCCCCCGCCTTCCGCAGCCGCTCGCTTCCGAACTCAATTTTTACTGGTACGCGCTCTACAACGGCTCCGCTCCGGTGCGGAGACCTGAGGTGGGCAAACAAGCATGGGCGGGATTTTCAAGATCTTGCGATACAGTCCGAGCAATAAACGCGGAAGTTAGATCCAAACACCCGTTGTGTGGGAGAATCATCGGCATGAACTGTTTAATCTGCCCATCATTTGTGTAGAGATCAGCAGTGTTTGGATCAACAAAGTGTGACTACTTTGATAGTGGAAACTGTATTCATGGCTTATTTTTGTGCATTTAAAGTTCAGCCGCCATTGATAGTTGTTAAAAGTTGTTAAACCTGTGCATATGAAACAAAAAACGCTTTTCGTTTATCGATTTATTGTGAAAAACAGAAGTTGTGCTTGCTCCTTTTCCTGTTGGGCGGTTGTGATTTCTGTCCATTGACTGCGGAGGTGCTCCGGCGTCCGGCGAAAATAGGATCGATTCTATTTTTGCCGGACGCCCGAACAGAGGGCGGCGCACGGCGCCGCACTGCCGGAGCACGGCCGCAGTAGTGGAATTGCTCTGATTGACTACAACGGGACCGATTTTGCTCCGGCGTTCGTGTCGGAGCGGAGCGGAGGTAGTGGAATTTGGGGGTTAGTTTTCCGCCTGTTTAAAGCAACACTAAACAGCTTCCAGCTTCTCCGCCCTACTGGTTGAAAGTGGAATTACATCTGCCATAGTAGCCTGCTGTAGCTAGTGCTAGCAATGAGCTAATGCTAACATAAGCCAGCTGATACTAAATAAGCCAAGAAGTTAAACGATCCACACTGCTGGACAAAAAATATTAATCCTTACAAGTCCAGTAGCAACAAAGCCAGGTCACCATCAGTGTGCAATTTTGTAGCCTCCTGTAGCTCCCTCACGCTAGTGTCAGTTGCTTCACTGCCAAAGACATTACTCTCCTACTTTTACTTTCAGGCTCTGCCATGATGCCAAATAAAAAGCAAACTTCTGTTTTTCTTCTTCTTGTGTTTATTGACGGTTGGCGAACAGAAAAAGCTAACTGCCAGCCAGAAAATAGCTAACAGCTATCAAGCAGGTAAAGAGCGCCCCCTAGAGAATCTACCCAGTCCACAACACTGTTGAGCGCAATCCCATGTGAAGTTAGTTTAATTTATGTGTATGTTTATTTATTTGGCAGACGCTTTTATTCAAAGCGACTTACAATTTATAACTTATAGGGCATGTTGTGATCTGTGGGGGAAACCGGAGTACCCGGAGGAAGCCAGGTACCTAAGTTATACCTATGCAAACACTGAAACTCGCATTTAAAGGGAAAGGTTAAAGTATAAGAAACTGCTAAGTGCTGCTTTAAGACGTAAAAGAGAAAGAAGCCATTAGACGTCATTTATCGCTGCAGTTGTTTGGTGAGAAAGCCAGTCTGGCTGGAAAAGGCCCATCCTGGTTGGAGGCCAGGCTGGATTGGTTTGTCTGGTCTTATCTTATCAGCTTGTGTGAGTGTGTGTGTGTCTGTGTGTGTGCAGTCAGTAGCAGCTCCTGCTGATGAAGAACAGTTCCTCTCTGGGTTTAAAGATAGATCCCTCAAGGGTCCTGCTTCCTTCTGCGCTATTAGATAATTGCTGAGTCCACACAAGGTGAAGGCGCTGCATTGCAAATCCACAGCTTGGAACTGGAGTTAAGTTGTTGAACTTTCACACACTGTTTAAGTATTTCCCATATTCCCGTTTTCTCCTCTGAGCTTCCCCCGTTTGTTCCCCTTCGCCCATGAGCTGTACAGGAGCAGAGCAGTCTGGTAATTGGTAGTTGTGCAGCTCTGATAATTGAAAAGACTCTAATTGCAGGGTTCTGCGATAAGTAGTGAATATGGTTGTAGCTCGTCATTCACAGAGATAACGCCCCCGAGGACAAACGGTGAGACGGAGACATGTCGGCAGTGTACGGGTTCAAGGCTGAGTTTAAAACGACCTTCCTATGTGCTGCATGTTAGCAGGACGAGACGCTAATCCACACCATTTGTTATTATCCACTGGGGGGAATGTAAACACCAGACTCCGCAGCTTCTCTCTGCTTTAATGGAAAGTTAAAAATGCACAATAAACAGTCAGATGTTGCAGCGGTCTGGTGTTTTGTTAATGTGACAACTGAGATTTATAATATCTCACATCTCCACGGTGCAGAAACCAGAATGCAGCTCGTTACTCTTGCAGCATTATTTTTTTCCTGCCAGCTCGCTCATCTGTTCAGTCCTGTTGGCTTTTTGTTTTGGTCTAAAGCAGCAGGATGCTGCCACTGTTGGCTGCCATTGGAAAACTTTACAAGAACTCAGCCTGAAACGTTGACGCTTGAGCGGTTTGTGCGACTGTCATGCAAACGTCCTCGTCTCAGTTTAGTCTCAAATCATCTCACTTAAAGTTGGAGTAAGAGATGTTTTTCTGCAGCATCTTTGCAATATTGCTTGAAAAGCTCTTCATACACCAATGGTGACCAATAAATCAAATTTTTAGTCAGGAAAGGGGAAATTTTGATCACTTCTGAAAAATACAATTCTGAAAAAACCTCATCCAATCAGTGTGAATGTCCCGTCCTTATTGATTGCATCGTGATCCATCAAACTGCTCTCTGCACATTCCTCTTTTTGTGCACGAATCAGGAAGCAACTGAACAGGAAGTGAAGCTAGAGCTGGGCTGCCTATATTAGCTAGCATGCTAAGCTGTTGTACGATTACGTAGCCTGAGCGGGAGTATCGTAGGGGGTTTCCAGTGAGCCCAGACCTCCCTTGGGTCCCGCTTAGATGTGGTACATTAGGAATTGTTGCATAAAGGCGGCCATCATTGGTGGTTTGACAGGATCCGTTGCATCCAGCATTCTCCTGAATTCTGGAGGCGTGGCTTAGAGGGTGGCCTGTAAAAAGGGGGGTGGACCATTGAACTGTGTTTTTACCTTTGTTTCTTAAAATGTAACACAACAGAGCAACTTTTCCAGGAACACCTATCTTACCTTTGAAAATGTGTCTTAATTTATTCACAATTCATGGTTTATTCTAACGATGGTTTGATGCACTATTTCTGTAATTGTTTGGTTAAACAAACACATAAAGTTGTAGATCCTTGAAAACAGGCACAGTGTTGTAATTCTGAAATATAAACTCAACAGTCAGATGGGTCTGCTGCTCCTCCCTGAGCGTGCTCATAGAAGCCGTAAACACGTGTCGAGCAACCGACGCGTCTCACGCGGAGGCTCCATTATTAACCAGAGCATCGCCTTGCAGATAAAGGAGCGACACGGTGGATCCATGTTGCCAGTCTGCACGACGGCTCCCAGTCTGACTCCTGTAAGCCAGTCAGAAATAATAAACTGTTGTTCTCATAAAGCTGTGCTTATCAGAAAAATGTGGTCCACCTCAGCCAGCACTGGAGCTGGATGTCGTCTCTTCCTGTTTCTGCTGTTTTCTCCTCACGAGGCCCTAATTGGAATCCAGCTACCTGCACACAGGTAGGAACTGGTGGTGAGAAAAGAGTCAGTCACCTTGGTTTAGATGGTGTTTCAGGGATGGAAAAACCTGCATGTACATGCCAGTTTAGGTGTAAAATGGTAAACTACCTGACCTGCATGTGGAGTGAAACCTGGGGTATTATTTCTTTTGGGTTCATCAACTCAAAGTGAGTTTTTCTAGAAGAAACCATTTTTGCTCTGGACAGATTTATGTCATAAAAGAACAAAACATCTGACATGTTGATGTTCTTTCACTTTTCATATGAGGAATAAATGTGATTTTGTTTTGAATTTAGATTTAATCCTGAACATCTTGTGTTAAATTCAGAGATGCACGGATTCTGGTTCTAAGAGCCGATGCCCGTTTCTTATTTTAGTACAGTTGCCCATTCCAGCCAATTCCAGTTTATCTAAAAGAGCTCAGCTGTACAGAAAACAACTAAAGCCTTCACACTAAGATCTGTTATTGGTGTCATCAGTAACACTTACCAATGGTAAGTTCATAGACATGGAGGAATGTTGGATTGTTTGTCATAACTTGGCATTCTGTGGATTCATAAATAAAATAAAAAACTATGGTGGTCCTGAAGGTTCAACAAAATCTAAAAGCCACAATGACAAATGCAACAGCTCATGTTAGAAGCTGTGGTCACGCTGACCTAACGCTAGGACTAACCGTTTGCTAACATCTTCATTCTGCCAACAGCATATGGGACCTGGTTGCTTTGGTGTTCAGCTTCTTGGACAGGTCTCGAGTTTTGGGGGATCTGATAAGGAAATATGGACATTTTAGCACTAAATTGCTGCATTTTTTTTCTAATAAATTTTACATTTTTGCTAACATCTGTTTTTTCCTTCCCATTAGGATCCAAGCCAAGACCCGTGAGCTGAGGGAGCGTCAGGCCCGGGAACGGGACTACGCTGAGATTCTCGACGTCAGTCAAACGCCGGAGAGATCCTCTGAGGAGGACCACTCCTACTCTGGACTCAACCCCCTGAACAGTTCTGTAGACAGCGGCCACAGCCAGCCACACAGCCCTCGTGATGACTACCCCCACATCCAGCACCAGCGCCAGCACTCCGACAGCGTCTACATCCAAATCAGCAAGGCCCGCAACGACCGCCCCCCATCCACAGACAGGTAGGGCTGCTTTTAACGCTTTTTTGTACACAAGTTTGCCTAGAGGTCAGCGGCATGGGTCAACGCCCGCGTCAGGCTTTTGTGGTTCTTATTTCTTCTCGTGAAAAAACAAGACGTCCTTTCCCTCTAGACCAGCTGACAGGCTGCCAATCACCTCTAATTTCAAGTCTGGTGGTATTTACCTACAAAGATCCATTTGGGCCTTATCCTGCCTCTCCTTCACAGCTGATGTGACCCTGAAGCAGCATTATAGCAGGCAGGATATCACACCTGAGAAGGAAATAATCACAGCAACAGAAGGCTGGCGGTAAATGTCAGCTGTGAGACGCCTCGCGCTCCTCTCGTGGGTGGGGGGTGGGGGGTTGGGTGAATGGAGACCTTTGAATATCCGTCTCCTGTGACCTTTCCACCTCTTTTCTTCCCATCTCCAGTTCCCTTGTTGATTCCACCTTAATGCAACCTTTTCACTCTGCTGAACTCCCTTCACTGTTTATCTCTGCATGTGAAGTTTGACCTGCGCTGCTTGTCACCTATAGATTGACAGCTGTCACTCTGGTCAGAATCATCCCCGCCAGACTTGTGGGAAACTCATCTCTTCCACCTCGGTTCTGTTAGTTCTGCGGAATATCTAAACGTAAAGATCCGGCGCTGAAATCCTGCTGCAGTTCTCTGCACTGCAGAGCTCGGCCCTCCTCTGATCAATGGAGGGAGAGATTTGCATCCCAGAGATGGATCTGGGGAACTTGAAACCAGTGGAGGAGCCCTACTGGAGTGTAGAGTCGTACAAGCACGGCTGAATGAATGGGTCTGACTGTTTTTAACGTATTCCCAAACGGCCCCAGGCTGCAGGTAAAGTGTGCTGTAGCTCACATCGATTCATAAGTCATTCCTCTGCTGTTGTCCTCCTCCCTGATGTGGAGAGCTGCTCAGATGATAAACCAGCATTACAGATAGCAGGTCTTATTTAATTAGGCGACAGGACTGGAGTGCAGACTGTGATCAACGTCCTGTAGAAAAAAAATCCATTTTGCTCATTTACCACAGAATAAAACTCCCCCCTTACCCCACGTAATAGAATTATTGTCAGCTGTAAGCCTCTTTGGGGCGAGTAAGCTGATAACAAGTTAATGAAAAGCTTTAAAATTATTTTACTTTTTAATCTTTCAGGCCACTGATCAAGGAGAATATGTATTAAGCTCATTTTTCTCTGTTTTGTGTGATTTTAAATCTGAATTTAGACTACATTTGACTTTGTTGTCGAGGTTTTTGGAGCTTGTGGATTTTATTCCCTTTAGAACGGTTTGAAAAATCCAACAAGAGGAAGTATTAAATGAAACTTTAAAGGGAACTCCATCCAAACCATTCAGTTTAAATCAAACAGCTTCTGGTCTTAAATCCTCCCGATGGAGCGTCAGGATTAGTACCTTCATCATAAACCATGTCACATATATGTGTCTGCTGCCCCCTGGTGGAGGAACTACAGATGGAAAGGAACAGTTGTATTCCTCTAATAAAGTTAATTTATGTTTAGTAAACTATTTTTTTAATTATTTAATATTTTATTCTTTAAAGCCTAAAAGAATTATCTCACCATTTCTAAACCCTTCTATGCTGTATTATCCCGGGGCTAATGGTAATTATAAAGAAAATAGAAAACAATAAACTAAATAACTAGCTCCATCTAGTCCTCCGTTGGGTTTTCCTAATAAAATATTCCACCTTTTCTTCCTGCAACAGATTTTATAGCTTTAACTTTGCATGACTGCAACACATAAATGTGACCTAATGGTCTCTGCTTGACAACTTATTTAATTTTAAAACTAAAATAACTATTTGATTTAAATTATTATTACATTAATCAGTCATGCATTTGCTAATGATAATCTAATGTTTCAGACCTGTAATAATGGAGGCCCTCCAGACATTTCAAACCTTTCCAATGTCCTTCAGAGACATTATTATTTTATATGATTGTGTTATAACAGAGAAATTATGTTTAATATAATAATATGTTTCCTTTTGTTAATGTTAAAATCACTTTGTAGTTCGCCTCTGGCTCAGAATGTGTTCACATCTTTTCCAGCCTGAATAATTCATTTGTCCATAAACCTCGTGTGTTTGCCTCCTGTGGTGGATAACACACACGCGCACACACACACCCCTCCCAGCTGACCGCACCGCCCTAAACTCTCACCTCATGCTGGAGAGTTTTAACACAGAAGCTAAAACTTCTTTTAGATATTAGGTTTCCTTCACATATCTCACAAACTTAAGAAAAACACTTTCTTGGGGAACCAGGAAGTGTGTTTCCTGCTTCCTGTCGGCCCCCTGCTGAACAGGAAGTGAGCCAGAACCTGCGCAGGAGGCTAAAAGTCTCTGCTAAGTGTTTGTTTTAGTGGGATTTGAGTGGCAGTGTCAACTGATATCGGAGTTTCAGGATTGTGGAGATTTGATCAAAGCAATAACAAACTGAGAGCGAAGGAAAATGTTATTCCTCTCCCACGCTAACGGCTCTCTGTTTAAATGACAGCTAGGCTGTAATTAGCTGGAATAGAAACACAACAGCGCTGCTGTTTACTGTGTAAACCACAGGAACATCTCTGTTTGCACTTTAAATCCTCGGATCCCAACCCGATGTGGATTTATCCGATGCTCCTGGACGCCTGAATACCAATTCCATCTGATTCTAGTTTATATTTAAGAACTATTCATCCACTTCCTGTTGACTAAATGATTCTAGTCAAAATGTTAACTCGAAAATTTCAGATTAATTAGTGCTTGGTGAGGATTTTTGAGTTTTGGGTTTGCTGATCACAGATTAAGCTAACTATTCTGATACCCATGGGTTTTCTGTGCATTTATAACACCATGCTAGCCTGACAAGCCATCCTATATATGCAGGGTTTTTCCTGGCTCAAACTGAGGCAGAGGGGGTACCATCCTGACCACGCACCAGCACATGCATACTCTGTGCATTCAACTACCTCACTTTTTTAAAGGCCAAATATTTTTTTCGTTAAATGTTCTAATCTAAGCTTCTGCTGATTAATAGAATATTCTATTTGACAACGTTTCAAGTGAAACAAAACTGGTTTGCTGCTAAAAAATATGAAATAAAACAACAAAATTATATTATAAAAGGCTCAATAATATGCATTAGATTGGTGTTTACTTCCCTTTTTCCCATCTGATATTTATAGTTAAAAATATTTTTAAATATTTGACCTACATTTCAGTAACATTTTAGGGTTGTATTAATAACACTCATCTTAGTCAAAATAACACATAAATATATCCATCCATCCGTTGTCTGAACCCGCTTGTCCATGTAGCTGCAGCGGTTCTGATCCGTAGCGCTGCAGGATGCAGAATAAACAGGATGGTGGGGAGTTTTCATCCGCTTGTAGAGTTTAGTCTTTCTTAGTTTTACGATCATCATATATTTTTCTGTGCGCCACTTGATCGTGAGACTGCTATCCGTTAGCTTTAGCCAATCTGTGTGTAGCTGCACTTTTGATCCCAAACTTTGGACCGGTTTTGCCTTTGCTGGTTCCTTTATTTTCCTACACTGCATCCAGATGACCACTCTGTGCGCCAGTACAAAGCATTTTTCTTACTGTGGCAAGTAAGAAATTAAGGATACAAATATTGTAACAACACCACCCTGAATTAAACACCCACCCTGTGGGATGGCGAGATGGAGCAGCAGGTGGGCCAGTGCACCACCGATGCCGTCAAACGCTCCGCTACTCTGGGTGGCACCACTGCGAGCAAAGCTGAATGGAATAGCGGCTCTCAGCACACAGACGGGCAGCCACACTGCAAAGAAACAAACGGGCATGGTCCCCCTGGATCAGTACAACTCTCCCCAATCAGAGGCAAAGACTTACGGTCGTAGCACGGCTGAGTCAGATCAGAGAACTGATTAGGAGTACCTGGGTGCAGTTTAACGCTGTAACAGCATATGCAGCTCCAGCCTGCGATCACACGATACAAAACACATTAAGATGGAGCAACGAGCTTTAGCTAATGCCACACAAGCAACACAGGAGGGCGAGTACTTACAATCGCTGCTTGTAGTTGGAGTCTCAACACCCACTAGCACCCGAGGTGTCACACAAGAGCTGTCCTGCTGGAGGAGCAAACAGCTGCCTTTTATTGGATGGCTCGCACCGCCCTGTTATCCGTCTAATGCGCGCCACCTGCCTCTTTATTGAGATGGGACCAGACCGGATCTGTCTGTCCCGTCACATTACACATAACTTACTTTTGTTCAATAAAGTTCTGGGGAAAATAGTAATTCAAAGATGTTGCACCAGTGCTACGTTTAAAAATAGACAGACACGCACAGACAGTTTTTATCGTTGCACTGTACAGCCCTGCTCTGATATGGAAGAGCCTGGGGGGAAATCAGGACGTCAATAGCACCAACCATAGATATGTAACTAGCGAGTAAAGCAATTATTGATCTTTTTCTGCAGCTGTTTTAGAGCTTTTCGGTGCGCCACTGCTGATACAGCGCTCCTGTAGTGGCGCAACGCTGCAACTGCAGTTAAAATAATATCCATATAGCTGGGGGCAGAGTGAAATCAGGCTGGGGCGGCACTAAATTAGCTGGAGGCGGCCGCCACGCAAATTTGATCGCAGGAAAACGCCTGATACGTGAATATATCGTCTGGCCATGAACCATACAGTATTGGGGCAGGATCTACGGTTGTCTTTCAAACTGTCTGCATGCTATTGGACAACAATGTGATGTACTCCACGCTACGAATGTCCGTCAACAGGGCTGTCCGCCAAACACTGTCAAAGAAGACACAAATACATCCTTTTTCTAAATAAAGGACTTAAGTACCTCTATCTGCTCTTGACCAAATAGTCCAAAATTGATGCCAAAGTCTTATTTATGCTCAGTCACAGTAACATCCTGCCCACCAAACCAAAAGAGCTCTGTGATTGGCCCACCAACTTGGCTGTGACTGTGTCGGTTCTAATAAAGC